TAGCTCGTCTCCCGGTTTGAGAAACAGCTCGAGTCGATTGTCACTAATAGGCGGTTGCACAGTCGCACCCTGGATCGTCGTCCCACTCAGGTTGCTCCGTATAGACGGTGCTCCACTGCTCACAGATCGTGCTTCACCCCGCAGTTGGTCCACTCGTGACGGCATCCGTGTTGTGTTGTTGTTAACAGTCGAAATAAAGTATTTGTTTAAAAGTTGAAAGCTAAAAGTTGAAATGCCGCCTGGGCAAGATCGGTCTGGCCGACTGAACGAATGAAAAGGGCGAGGTGGACCAGACCCGCGTTAGAAAGAAAAGAAAAGAAAAAGGAGTTTGAGGTCCAACGGGTATCGAGGATGGAGGGGAAAACAGGACACGACTCGTCTGCTCGCAGTGGTTTTATTGGCACCTTGGGAAATGACCAGTGCGAGGCGCGGCCACCTCTCATAGCCATCCGTCGCCCATCACTAACAAAACTGTATTCACTCTCGGCGCCTCGCCGACACACTCACACCCTATGCACGATAAAACTCGATTGCAAGGTATATACAACATCCCAATAAAAACCACCTTGTCCTTGCAAATCTTTTACTTGGCAGTGCAGGTAGCCCATTGGAAGCCTAAAAGATATCAGTCTCGTATATTGCCATGGGAAATCCGACGCACCAAAGGTCTGCTCGAGCTTGGTGTCGATAGAGTCGTTGGCAATGTATCCATACCCATTCTTGTTCTTGTTGTTGCTGATCTGGAGCGAACCGACAATGTTCAAGACGGTATCAGCGCCGCATGGCGATTGGACGGTGGCAGTCAAGTCGAATTGGTCACGGTAGCTATCCCATTTCATCAGTACAAGGTCCAATTTACTCGGCCATACTCACGTGTAGTCTTTGCCATCGACGGGTCCTGTCAAGTTTGAGCGAGCGGTGGCTTGTTGGAGTTGGCCTTGGAAGTAGTACAACGATTGTTGGACGGCAGTGACATTGGTGTCGAGTTGGTAGTAACCACGCTGTCTCCCAATCAGAACAACATCACACATAACCAAGAAAACCCACATAGTCGACGGTGGCGAGACCGAAACTGAAACCACCTGGGATGCGCACTCCGAGGGTGACTTGGCAGCTCTTGCGGTTTTCCGAAATAGCAATATCGGGTCCAGTCATCGCGTAAAAGTTACTGAACGTGACAGTGACGGCAGTCCTGTCGGCTAGAGAGACATCAGTATGGGTATACAACAACACCGAACCACTCACCGCTCAAGACATAGTAGGCGGATCCAGCAGGGCAACCACTTCCATTGACACCACTGGAAAAAGGTCAACATTCTGTAAAATATCGATTTCCCTCGCTTACATGCTCGTGCTAAAAAAAAAAGTCAGTACTGGGTCAATTCGGATCAATGCGTACGCACATGTTGAAACCAGCGGGGGGTGTAACATCAGAACGAGGGATATAGATGCCAAGAGTTCCACCAGAAACTGGGCGAATCGAACCATCCACGACGGTAAAGCCTTCGGGAAGACTTCCAAAGTCGATGGACGCCGGGAGGGCAGACACACCAAAGGCGAGAGCGACAAGACCAGCAACAAACTTGAACATGGTGGAAATGTGGAGAGCAGGAGAGATGGGAGATTGGATAGCGTTGGATCGCTTGATTATCCCACAACCAGAGACACTCCCCTCTTTATATCTTTGCTGCGCGCACCATAGCTCCGAACTTTGTGATAAGTGTGCTATACTCGGGACTAGAAATTCCCCACTGATGCCTAGATGTCGCTGCGACAAGGGGTAAATGTTCCGACTTTGGGGGATCTGGATTCACCGTCCGGATTGAGACATTGATGGCATGGATCCGGACATGGTGGTCACCAGATGCTCTTTCGTATAGAGCACGTAAATACTGCCTGTACAAACGTCTGGCAACAAGAGGTCTTGCCGGGAGGAAGGAGGTGGTAGAAGAAGAAGCCCAGGAACATTTGCATTCCTTGCCGGCGCTATGTCGGTCTCACCCTGTGGACATTTGAAGACAGCTGTCTGCGCCAATAAGCCAATAACTCTAAACAGAAGAAATCACCGTACGAACCATGTCAATTTGGGAAGGCGAGTCAACCGTGACTCTGTATCAAGTCACCAAACCGAAATACAAGCGACCTGCCCCCATATGCCTCCAAATAAACCCATGCGTTAAATTAGGGAGACTCCGGCGAGCGAAGTAAGGGGGTAAAGAGGATGATTCATATGGCATGTTTTTATTTTAGCATTTAGACAGCGGCGTGATAGTATGGGAGAGTACGGATAAACGGTGAACAAGAGGGGAGTTGTAAAGGGGGAAGAAGTTGCGTTTTCACTCGTCTCGTTTCATCGCAGCTAGATGCTCCACAAAATCTGCTATTATCTAGACTAGAACTCTGAGGAGTTTGCACAGCAAACTTTACAGATGAACGGTCCAACCATCGCAAGTCTTGGGAGTGCTTTTGAAAGTACAGCATGATGGTCGAATGCGAGAACCCGCGACCTTCCGGTGGTTTGGCTCCCTATCAGAACGGTTGCCGCAGAGTCAATTTCACCACCTCACATCAACTTCTGTCAATTCGTGTCAAAGATGCAAAATAGAAATGCAGAGCCTCACCTGCCAACAAATGGAGACATATTCTGCCTGTCAACAGCATCCACAAAATGCCAGTCAGAATCTCGGCACATATGCATTGTAGAATAGTTCTCCCGTATAGACAAGATATCACGAGTGATCGCATCAAAGGTGTTAATCTTGTTGTAGTGCCGAGATTTGCGACCGAAAGAGTTGACAGTCACGTTATTTGCGACTTGGCCTGCGGATACATTTGTCACACAGCGGCAAGTTCAATATTACCAAGTTTATTACGAAGCCAGAAAATCATACAGATGTGAAACGAGTCCCCAATCTGGCGGAACAAGTTATTGCAGCATGGGTCGAGGTCATGACCGGGAGCAAGAAGGGTGCAATCTGCGCGTCCCCCCCCCCCCTCAAGATCTTGTGGAGGGCCCATGTGCACGTATAAAGTTTAGCGGGCAATCCAGGGATGTTGACACTTTGGAGAACATGAAATGAATTCAAAAGGGACATGATCACAGCGATGCCACGGCTCATTGGCGAGGGTCGACTTCCCTCCACCTGCTCAGGTAGGTTCTTTTTTTTCTGGACGACACGGTAAATAGTATCAAGATGATACCCAGAAAGGGAAATCTGATCATTTACTTTCTCAGACAGATAGATTGTGGGAAATGATAAACAACAATTTGTGATTGCAAAAAGAGAGACCGGTATATACATTGACGATACCCCTCTCGTACACAACATCAGAAGGAACAACGAGTCGTTTGAGAGGCGAGTAAACTCAATGGAGTCCTTTGTACATCCTGTTTTAAATACATACAAGTTATGCTCAGCAGCTGAGCCAGTTGAAGTCTAGATTCCTATATCAGCAAACTGTCACCGAGACACGAGGCAGCGTGTAAACTTACTGAAGGTCTGCTTGAGCGTGGTGTCGATGGAGTCGGTGGCAATGTAACCAGAGCCGCTCCTGTTGGCAGAGTTGCTGACTTGGAGAGAGCCGACGATGTTGAGGACAGTGTTGGCTCCGCAGCCACTCAAGACGGTAGAGTAGAGGTCGAATTGGTCACGGTAGCTATAAGAAGTTGGGTCAGGCATGCATCACCAGAGAGCGAGGTTCAGGCGCACGTATAGTCCTTGCCAGAGACGGGTCCAGTCAAAGTGGAACGAGCGGTAGCTGTTGAATACTGTGTGAGAATGTGCAGTCCAGATGAAACTGAGAGCCTATTCACCCTGTTGCAATTGGCCTTGGAAGTAGTAGACGGATTGCTGGTTCGCGGTGACCTTGGAGTCGAGTTGATAGTAGCCACGCTGAAACCCATATCAGGAACGGCAAAAATATATAAAGAAGCAAGGCACGCACGTAATCGACAGTAGCAATACCGAAGGAGAAGCCACCTTGAACATGGAATCAGTCAAAGCCGTAGCGAAACCAATAAGGTCTGCATACCTGGAACGCGGACACCGAGAGTAACAGCGCAGTTCTTGCGGTTCTCAGAGATGGCGACACCCGGTCCAGCATAAGCGTAGAAGTTGCTGAAGGTCACGGTCACTGCGCTCTTGTCGGCTAAAGAGAAGTCAGTAAATCGCCGGCTATCATACCCAAAGAAACATACAGCTCAAGACGTAGTAAGCAGTTCCAGCGGGGCATCCACTACCATTGACACCACTGATGGTTCATCTGTTAGAGAGGTCATTCGTCGAGGGATGGGTAAGACTCCTTACATGCTCGTGCTGTAAACAAGCGTCAGACACAACTCGAATGATCTAATGGAAATAATGAGGCTTACATGTTGAAACCAGTGGGAGGAGCGACAGTGCGGGCTTCGAGTTCAATCGGTGAGGCAGAGACACCGAGAGCGACGGCGAGAGCAGAAACGATGGCGAAGAACTTCATTTTTGGATATGGAGTGGCTTGGAGTGGCTAAGAGTAGCTTCTTGGAGACCTGAAACGTGCAACAGGATGAGGTTCTGAGGAAGGAAGAGACCCTCTGCCTTTTATGCGTTCTGGAGAGGCCCAAGGGCCCTGGTCATACGGTTCCAACTTCGGATGCAGCACGCTGAGACGGGAGGAAACTTGCAGAGCCATTCCATCGATTGGTTTGACAAATGCATCGGAAATGACAGATGCTGCATGGCAAGTGTGTTGGTCCGTATCACAAGGTCCGCAAACCACGACAAGCTTGTGCCGTACCTTACCATCTCGGATAAAAACGATGAAATAATGAAGCTGGTTCTGTGTGCGCTTGTTATCAGGGCCGCGAAGTTGGTAGAGGGTGGTCAAAGGAGAAGCAGCACAAGGCGGAGTGATGTCGGTCACTTCAGTACGGCTGTGACGGGTGTTGACTTGTCCGGAAAGACCAGTCTTAAAAGTCAATTTTCCTAAAGTCTATCGGGCAATGTGCCGCGAGACACCTGAAATCAACCCTCTTGCTCTTGATTGGCAGGCACCGTTCTTGCGCAAACCGAAAATGTAGCGGGTTATTCCATACACGGAAAAGCGCAATCCGTAGATTTCAATCAAGCTTTAAGCTTGTCATTAGAATAGGCGGTGATGAATTCGCCGTACTGTTTGTCACCGACCCAATGCTTTGGCGGGCCCTGCGGGCGCACTCAATGGACGGCGGCAAGGAATCTTGATGGCAAGAAATCCTACGGGTCAAGTAGGGGGTAGGGAAAGAAGGTGAATGTATGCGGCAGCAGACTGATCATGTCAATCGCCAGATCTGTGAAAACGTTTACATGTGACTGGCACGGACCGACGATGTTCGAGTCGAAAGTTCAACCAGAGGGGTAAACCCACCTCTGCAGCACAAGGTGCTCTCCCCAAGCTGTGGAAAGCTGACCGGCTTTATATCTTGCAGAGCTCATCGAACTCAAGATTTCTGAAGAATCGAGATGGAATTGAGACGATCGTTCTGCAGACTCTCATGTTGCAAAAGAACTTCATGGGTGCAATGTGACCAGCTGATTCTCACGACCTGTCGAGATGCAGCGTCAATGTGGGCGTAAGAAGACTCAAACTTCAGTAAACAAACGAAAAAGAATCGCCGGGAACGCAATACGTGTTAAGAAAGAATACCAAAGAAAACACGGCAATTGCTAAGCGAATTTGTGAGTCCATTCAAGATTTCCCGAAGTATGGGACAAAAAGAAAACGTCCATGTCGCTGGACCCGAGAGTCCGGCTTGAGCCCAATATTAGGGAGAAAGGAAAGAGGGAAGACGAGTTGGACAAGCCAGCCGTTGGTATGTATGGGAGGAGGGAGAGAGATGGAGCGGGAAAGAGAAGATGGGACAGAGGGCACATTTTTCATGGATAAATAAGCCATCATGCAACCCGGTCCCGCATGTAAGTGCTCTTTATGTAAAGATTTTACGTTAGCGATATTGACTATTATTATAGGGTTCTTTGTCGTCGTCAACGGTGTTCCCTCCGTTGGTGTTAGGGTGATGGTTGGTTCGGGTCAGATTGAGGAGCAGCAGATTCTTGATGTTGAAGCCCTCCCTGCCTCCTCGACCGTCACACAGGCGGCAGACTCGAATCCCAACACCTCTGCGGCCTTCCACATCTCGCCCATGATGTCGATTGTCACCCTACTCTTCGCCGTTGCATCGTGGCTTATTTATCCATGAAAAATGTGCCCTCTGTCCCATCTTCTCTTTCCCGCTCCATCTCTCTCCCTCCTCCCATACATACCAACGGCTGGCTTGTCCAACTCGTCTTCCCTCTTTCCTTTCTCCCTAATATTGGGCTCAAGCCGGACTCTCGGGTCCAGCGACATGGACGTTTTCTTTTTGTCCCATACTTCGGGAAATCTTGAATGGACTCACAAATTCGCTTAGCAATTGCCGTGTTTTCTTTGGTATTCTTTCTTAACACGTATTGCGTTCCCGGCGATTCTTTTTCGTTTGTTTACTGAAGTTTGAGTCTTCTTACGCCCACATTGACGCTGCATCTCGACAGGTCGTGAGAATCAGCTGGTCACATTGCACCCATGAAGTTCTTTTGCAACATGAGAGTCTGCAGAACGATCGTCTCAATTCCATCTCGATTCTTCAGAAATCTTGAGTTCGATGAGCTCTGCAAGATATAAAGCCGGTCAGCTTTCCACAGCTTGGGGAGAGCACCTTGTGCTGCAGAGGTGGGTTTACCCCTCTGGTTGAACTTTCGACTCGAACATCGTCGGTCCGTGCCAGTCACATGTAAACGTTTTCACAGATCTGGCGATTGACATGATCAGTCTGCTGCCGCATACATTCACCTTCTTTCCCTACCCCCTACTTGACCCGTAGGATTTCTTGCCATCAAGATTCCTTGCCGCCGTCCATTGAGTGCGCCCGCAGGGCCCGCCAAAGCATTGGGTCGGTGACAAACAGTACGGCGAATTCATCACCGCCTATTCTAATGACAAGCTTAAAGCTTGATTGAAATCTACGGATTGCGCTTTTCCGTGTATGGAATAACCCGCTACATTTTCGGTTTGCGCAAGAACGGTGCCTGCCAATCAAGAGCAAGAGGGTTGATTTCAGGTGTCTCGCGGCACATTGCCCGATAGACTTTAGGAAAATTGACTTTTAAGACTGGTCTTTCCGGACAAGTCAACACCCGTCACAGCCGTACTGAAGTGACCGACATCACTCCGCCTTGTGCTGCTTCTCCTTTGACCACCCTCTACCAACTTCGCGGCCCTGATAACAAGCGCACACAGAACCAGCTTCATTATTTCATCGTTTTTATCCGAGATGGTAAGGTACGGCACAAGCTTGTCGTGGTTTGCGGACCTTGTGATACGGACCAACACACTTGCCATGCAGCATCTGTCATTTCCGATGCATTTGTCAAACCAATCGATGGAATGGCTCTGCAAGTTTCCTCCCGTCTCAGCGTGCTGCATCCGAAGTTGGAACCGTATGACCAGGGCCCTTGGGCCTCTCCAGAACGCATAAAAGGCAGAGGGTCTCTTCCTTCCTCAGAACCTCATCCTGTTGCACGTTTCAGGTCTCCAAGAAGCTACTCTTAGCCACTCCAAGCCACTCCATATCCAAAAATGAAGTTCTTCGCCATCGTTTCTGCTCTCGCCGTCGCTCTCGGTGTCTCTGCCTCACCGATTGAACTCGAAGCCCGCACTGTCGCTCCTCCCACTGGTTTCAACATGTAAGCCTCATTATTTCCATTAGATCATTCGAGTTGTGTCTGACGCTTGTTTACAGCACGAGCATGTAAGGAGTCTTACCCATCCCTCGACGAATGACCTCTCTAACAGATGAACCATCAGTGGTGTCAATGGTAGTGGATGCCCCGCTGGAACTGCTTACTACGTCTTGAGCTGTATGTTTCTTTGGGTATGATAGCCGGCGATTTACTGACTTCTCTTTAGCCGACAAGAGCGCAGTGACCGTGACCTTCAGCAACTTCTACGCTTATGCTGGACCGGGTGTCGCCATCTCTGAGAACCGCAAGAACTGCGCTGTTACTCTCGGTGTCCGCGTTCCAGGTATGCAGACCTTATTGGTTTCGCTACGGCTTTGACTGATTCCATGTTCAAGGTGGCTTCTCCTTCGGTATTGCTACTGTCGATTACGTGCGTGCCTTGCTTCTTTATATATTTTTGCCGTTCCTGATATGGGTTTCAGCGTGGCTACTATCAACTCGACTCCAAGGTCACCGCGAACCAGCAATCCGTCTACTACTTCCAAGGCCAATTGCAACAGGGTGAATAGGCTCTCAGTTTCATCTGGACTGCACATTCTCACACAGTATTCAACAGCTACCGCTCGTTCCACTTTGACTGGACCCGTCTCTGGCAAGGACTATACGTGCGCCTGAACCTCGCTCTCTGGTGATGCATGCCTGACCCAACTTCTTATAGCTACCGTGACCAATTCGACCTCTACTCTACCGTCTTGAGTGGCTGCGGAGCCAACACTGTCCTCAACATCGTCGGCTCTCTCCAAGTCAGCAACTCTGCCAACAGGAGCGGCTCTGGTTACATTGCCACCGACTCCATCGACACCACGCTCAAGCAGACCTTCAGTAAGTTTACACGCTGCCTCGTGTCTCGGTGACAGTTTGCTGATATAGGAATCTAGACTTCAACTGGCTCAGCTGCTGAGCATAACTTGTATGTATTTAAAACAGGATGTACAAAGGACTCCATTGAGTTTACTCGCCTCTCAAACGACTCGTTGTTCCTTCTGATGTTGTGTACGAGAGGGGTATCGTCAATGTATATACCGGTCTCTCTTTTTGCAATCACAAATTGTTGTTTATCATTTCCCACAATCTATCTGTCTGAGAAAGTAAATGATCAGATTTCCCTTTCTGGGTATCATCTTGATACTATTTACCGTGTCGTCCAGAAAAAAAAGAACCTACCTGAGCAGGTGGAGGGAAGTCGACCCTCGCCAATGAGCCGTGGCATCGCTGTGATCATGTCCCTTTTGAATTCATTTCATGTTCTCCAAAGTGTCAACATCCCTGGATTGCCCGCTAAACTTTATACGTGCACATGGGCCCTCCACAAGATCTTGAGGGGGGGGGGGGACGCGCAGATTGCACCCTTCTTGCTCCCGGTCATGACCTCGACCCATGCTGCAATAACTTGTTCCGCCAGATTGGGGACTCGTTTCACATCTGTATGATTTTCTGGCTTCGTAATAAACTTGGTAATATTGAACTTGCCGCTGTGTGACAAATGTATCCGCAGGCCAAGTCGCAAATAACGTGACTGTCAACTCTTTCGGTCGCAAATCTCGGCACTACAACAAGATTAACACCTTTGATGCGATCACTCGTGATATCTTGTCTATACGGGAGAACTATTCTACAATGCATATGTGCCGAGATTCTGACTGGCATTTTGTGGATGCTGTTGACAGGCAGAATATGTCTCCATTTGTTGGCAGGTGAGGCTCTGCATTTCTATTTTGCATCTTTGACACGAATTGACAGAAGTTGATGTGAGGTGGTGAAATTGACTCTGCGGCAACCGTTCTGATAGGGAGCCAAACCACCGGAAGGTCGCGGGTTCTCGCATTCGACCATCATGCTGTACTTTCAAAAGCACTCCCAAGACTTGCGATGGTTGGACCGTTCATCTGTAAAGTTTGCTGTGCAAACTCCTCAGAGTTCTAGTCTAGATAATAGCAGATTTTGTGGAGCATCTAGCTGCGATGAAACGAGACGAGTGAAAACGCAACTTCTTCCCCCTTTACAACTCCCCTCTTGTTCACCGTTTATCCGTACTCTCCCATACTATCACGCCGCTGTCTAAATGCTAAAATAAAAACATGCCATATGAATCATCCTCTTTACCCCCTTACTTCGCTCGCCGGAGTCTCCCTAATTTAACGCATGGGTTTATTTGGAGGCATATGGGGGCAGGTCGCTTGTATTTCGGTTTGGTGACTTGATACAGAGTCACGGTTGACTCGCCTTCCCAAATTGACATGGTTCGTACGGTGATTTCTTCTGTTTAGAGTTATTGGCTTATTGGCGCAGACAGCTGTCTTCAAATGTCCACAGGGTGAGACCGACATAGCGCCGGCAAGGAATGCAAATGTTCCTGGGCTTCTTCTTCTACCACCTCCTTCCTCCCGGCAAGACCTCTTGTTGCCAGACGTTTGTACAGGCAGTATTTACGTGCTCTATACGAAAGAGCATCTGGTGACCACCATGTCCGGATCCATGCCATCAATGTCTCAATCCGGACGGTGAATCCAGATCCCCCAAAGTCGGAACATTTACCCCTTGTCGCAGCGACATCTAGGCATCAGTGGGGAATTTCTAGTCCCGAGTATAGCACACTTATCACAAAGTTCGGAGCTATGGTGCGCGCAGCAAAGATATAAAGAGGGGAGTGTCTCTGGTTGTGGGATAATCAAGCGATCCAACGCTATCCAATCTCCCATCTCTCCTGCTCTCCACATTTCCACCATGTTCAAGTTTGTTGCTGGTCTTGTCGCTCTCGCCTTTGGTGTGTCTGCCCTCCCGGCGTCCATCGACTTTGGAAGTCTTCCCGAAGGCTTTACCGTCGTGGATGGTTCGATTCGCCCAGTTTCTGGTGGAACTCTTGGCATCTATATCCCTCGTTCTGATGTTACACCCCCCGCTGGTTTCAACATGTGCGTACGCATTGATCCGAATTGACCCAGTACTGACTTTTTTTTTTAGCACGAGCATGTAAGCGAGGGAAATCGATATTTTACAGAATGTTGACCTTTTTCCAGTGGTGTCAATGGAAGTGGTTGCCCTGCTGGATCCGCCTACTATGTCTTGAGCGGTGAGTGGTTCGGTGTTGTTGTATACCCATACTGATGTCTCTCTAGCCGACAGGACTGCCGTCACTGTCACGTTCAGTAACTTTTACGCGATGACTGGACCCGATATTGCTATTTCGGAAAACCGCAAGAGCTGCCAAGTCACCCTCGGAGTGCGCATCCCAGGTGGTTTCAGTTTCGGTCTCGCCACCGTCGACTATGTGGGTTTTCTTGGTTATGTGTGATGTTGTTCTGATTGGGAGACAGCGTGGTTACTACCAACTCGACACCAATGTCACTGCCGTCCAACAATCGTTGTACTACTTCCAAGGCCAACTCCAACAAGCCACCGCTCGCTCAAACTTGACAGGACCCGTCGATGGCAAAGACTACACGTGAGTATGGCCGAGTAAATTGGACCTTGTACTGATGAAATGGGATAGCTACCGTGACCAATTCGACTTGACTGCCACCGTCCAATCGCCATGCGGCGCTGATACCGTCTTGAACATTGTCGGTTCGCTCCAGATCAGCAACAACAAGAACAAGAATGGGTATGGATACATTGCCAACGACTCTATCGACACCAAGCTCGAGCAGACCTTTGGTGCGTCGGATTTCCCATGGCAATATACGAGACTGATATCTTTTAGGCTTCCAATGGGCTACCTGCACTGCCAAGTAAAAGATTTGCAAGGACAAGGTGGTTTTTATTGGGATGTTGTATATACCTTGCAATCGAGTTTTATCGTGCATAGGGTGTGAGTGTGTCGGCGAGGCGCCGAGAGTGAATACAGTTTTGTTAGTGATGGGCGACGGATGGCTATGAGAGGTGGCCGCGCCTCGCACTGGTCATTTCCCAAGGTGCCAATAAAACCACTGCGAGCAGACGAGTCGTGTCCTGTTTTCCCCTCCATCCTCGATACCCGTTGGACCTCAAACTCCTTTTTCTTTTCTTTTCTTTCTAACGCGGGTCTGGTCCACCTCGCCCTTTTCATTCGTTCAGTCGGCCAGACCGATCTTGCCCAGGCGGCATTTCAACTTTTAGCTTTCAACTTTTAAACAAATACTTTATTTCGACTGTTAACAACAACACAACACGGATGCCGTCACGAGTGGACCAACTGCGGGGTGAAGCACGATCTGTGAGCAGTGGAGCACCGTCTATACGGAGCAACCTGAGTGGGACGACGATCCAGGGTGCGACTGTGCAACCGCCTATTAGTGACAATCGACTCGAGCTGTTTCTCAAACCGGGAGACGAGCTA